AGAGAGAGAGAGAGAGAGAGAGAGAGAGAGAGAGAGAGAGAGAGAGAGAGAGAGAGAGAGGAATGGGGCTTCCTGGACTGTTCAGGGGTGAGGCGGAGGCTCCAAATGAACAACCAGAATGCCTCAGAAGCAAAGTCAAGGACAGAATCAAAGCCCCATGACTTTGAATCCAACATCTAAAACACCAGAAAGAGAACTTTCAGATGTTCAATACCTAATTAAAAAAATTGTATGTGAAAGTTTTGTCTGCATGTGTGTACATGTACTACATGTGTGTCTGCTGCCCCAGGAGGCCAGAAAAGGAGGTCAGATTCCCTGGAATCAGAGTTACAGATGGTTGTGAGCTGCCTTGTGGGTGCTGTAACTGAACTGAGTCCTCGCAAGAAGAGTCAGTGCTCTCAACCACTGAGCCATCTCTCCAGCCCCACGACTCCTAAGCTTTTTGCCTTAAAGCAAATTACACTTAGTTTTGTCCTCTTTCGACTGGTAACTGGTCCTATTCCCCCCACTGTGAGGATGGCCTGTTGTCATTTCCTGTTAAAAATCATCCTAGCCGTGGTAATTGTATTTGCCCTTGGAAATTTGTGCTGGCCTTGCCAGGGACCTTCGTGTGCAAGAAAATTTAGAATTTTTATTTCCCGAATTATTTCTACTAGCGTCTATTCACTGTAAAAGCAGTGGGTTTTGTACTGACTGGTTTTGTGTGTCAACTTGACACAAGCTAGAGTCATTAAAGGAAGAAGCCTCAGTTGAGGAAATGCCTCCATGAGATCCAGCTGTAAGGCATCTTCTCAACTAGTGACCAATGGAGGAGGGCCCAGCCCATGGTGGGTGGTGCCATCCCTGGACTGCAGGTCCTGGGTTCTGTAAGAAAACAGCTTGAGCAAGCCAGTAAGCAGCTCCCCTTCATGCCCTCTGCATCAGCTCCTGCCTCCAGGATCCTTCCTTGTTTTAGGTCCTGTCCTGACTTCCTTCAATGATGAACAGCTATAAAGCCAAATAAACCCTTTCCTCCCCAACTTGCTTGGCCATGGTATTTTGCTGCAGCAATAGAAACCCTACCTAAGATGGGTTTCATAATAATATTTTTCTCCACACATTAGTACCTTGCCCTGTTCACTAGCCAGTACCTTTTCCTGTCACCACCACCCTTTCCTCTTCCCAAATACTCTCCCTTCTGTTCTCATTGTGTGTGTAAGTTTCACATGAGAGAGAACATGGTATTTGTCTTTCTCAGTCTTCCTTACTTTGCTTAATTTAACATGGTGATTTGTAATTCTATCCATTTTCCTACAAATGACATGTTTTTTTCCTCTTTATGGCTGAATCATGTGGACACATACATATCATGTATACACATATATGCATATTCTTTATCTCTTCATCTGTTGAAAAACTCTGAGGCTGACTTTACAAGGGGGCTGTTGTGAACAGTGCCACAGTAAAAGCAGAGACGAAGAGATGATCTTGTGCTGTACTGGCTTGGATTCTTTTGTGTATAGTGAGGGTCCAGGGTAGATAGTTCAGGTTTCTTAGGAGTTTCTATATTGATTTCCATAGTGGCTGTGCTAGTTCACACTCCCAAACCCCCCCTCAACAACTGTCTTCCTTCCTTCCTTCCTTCCTTCCTTCCTTTCTTTCTTTCTTTCTTTCTTTCTTTCTTTCTTTCTTTCTTTCTTTCTTTCTTTCGTCTTTCTGTCTTTCCTTCCTTATTTTCTTCTTCTTTTTCTTCTTCTTCCTCTTCCTCTCCTTCTCCTCCTCCTCCTCCTTCCTCATCACAACCATCTGAGATATGGGTTTGGCTTGCATTTCCCTCATGGCTAAGGATGTCAAGAGCATTTTTCGTTCGTCTATTTTCTAGATTACTTCAAGCCAGCACACCCTTCCCAAGAAGCTACTGTGGTAAGATACAGAGGCTAGCCGAGCATGGCTCATGATACATTCACATTTACCCTTGCATAAAAGCAGAAACAGACTCACCGCCCTGGGGCCATGAGGGCTAAGAGCTTTGAAGTCTCCAGAGAAGCCTCAGAGAGAAGAGATTCTGATGGGCACATCACAACAGTAGTGGCTTTTGAGCTAATGTATGAATGAGGTGTAGGAATTTCCTGGGTGGGAAGCTGTGGGGGTCCCTGCTGGTGGCAGTCAGGGAAGTGAACCCTGTGAGGAGAAGGGAATGAAAACCAGTGTAGACTGACTTTGTCAGCCTGGGTCAGACTTTGTAGAGTCTAATGTCAGGCGGTTCATTGTCAGCACATTTAAAACAGGGTACAATGTGAGAAAAGGTTTCCAGGCAAATCTATCCAATCAGCGCAATGCCAAGTTTGAAGTGTGACTACATAGAGACTCTTTTACAAGGTCCACATGGGGGTGGGTTCTGTAGCTAAAAGGCCTAGGATCTAGTGTGGTCTCTGACTTATAGTATAGAGGTCAGGCAGACCATAAAGTACCAGCGACACCTGCCCTAAGGATGAGTAATGATCTGGGCAGGAAGAAGTCTGACACAATCATTCTGGGGAACTAGGGTGAGGTCTGCCTCTATAGTAAAAGGTGGGTGAGGTCTGCCTCCACAGATAGCAAAAAGGTCACCAGGTCAAAATCCATTCTCAGCTTTCTGGAAGGGTTGCAGGTATTTGATCTGTATCTCCTCCATTGAGGAGACACCCCTACATGATTAACATTCCTGGTCTCTTAGTGTTTCTCTGTGAGCACAAGGACCTCTATGCCCCCAACAGGAACCATGGTCTGCTCAGGGCTGGAAGCCTAGTTCTGGAGAAAAGTTTTATATAGCTCTATATACACACAAATGAGCTGTATCCACACTCCACACTGTCGGAGCTCCCTGAGGGACTAAACCACCGTGTATTTGGTTGGTTGTAGGATCCCAGCAGAGGCTGGGGAGGAAAGCAGAGCAAGAGCGAGCCGAAGCCCTTGGGAAGCTCTGAGAGGGACCGTGGGAGGCCCTCAGTCTTCATATACCTTCTGACTCTTTGCTTGAATGTGGCACCCAGCCAGAGCCAGGTCTGTGGGTACCGCAATTACTCAAGCAGGCAATACTGAAGTGGAGGTGCCACTGTAGACGTATACTCCACTCAGCCGGTGAACAAAGCTAGGGAGGGCGTTGTGGGGCCCCAGAGACATCAGGAAAGCTTTTCTCACAGAGGTGGCATTGAGCTGTGAACTATTTGCCCAGAAAGAGTTAGGGGTGGGGAAGGTGCCAGGAGGAATGATGCCCGAGGCACCTGTTGCTGGACTTTCAGCAGGACCGGCTCTGTTCTGTTTGTTTTGTTTTTGTATAATCTCACTTGGCTTAAGGTAATGCTTCTCATTTGCAGAAAATGGATCAGGAAGTACAGAAGAACAAAAAAGAAAAGGATCTACAATCCATTACCTAGACGTAATAATTCTGAAAACCAGGGGCTGATGCAGGAGTTGGTGTTGTCTGAAGGGCCCTTTGTAAGTTGGTCTTGGCCCAGACAGCATGAGTGACCTGTAAAATATGCTTAAAATGGGTGGGGTTAGAATATGCTCTGGGGACTGTTAGTTTTTACCCGATCAGATAAAGCAGCAGAACTTTTTTGGGGGGGAACCTGCAGGTATCTGTAAGACAACTGGAACAGGAACATTTTAGAACTTTGGATCATTTAAGATACACCTGAAACCTGCTAGTCCTGGACTATGAAGTCTATGAAAGGGGCACACCTGTCTGTATTTTTGCAGGAAACTTAACAGATGAGATAATGAGCTACCAGTACAGTACCTTAAGTCATCAAATGTCATTAGACAGATCTAAGGGGGATACATGAACAAAATGAGACAGCTTTTTTAGCTACACAGGCAATCCCAAGTCTCTCCATAGTCTTTGGAGAACAGCAGCCTTAGAAGCAATGCTTGCCATTAGCTGCTGAGTACAAGAGGCCTGAAGATTTTCCTATGGGGGAAAGATTTAGTCTACCAGTCTTGGCAGGATGAGATGATTGATCCCTGGGGTAGCATCCAGAAAGCTGAAGTGATGGAAGGCAGTTTTTTGTTGCGCAGGTGGCTTTGCCATACCCAAAAGAAAGCTTCGAGGTGGAAGGTCTTTTGCAACCATGCATCTGCTTGGAGGAGCTATAGGATGCTGCAGGAGCTGGCAACTCTCTGTGTTAGAGGCTCTTTTGTTAAATGCCATACTCTCAGGTCTGTAAAGGCACTTGAGAATTGGGTACCATTACCTG